ACTTATTAGTTCAACACACAATATTATTTTGTTCTCTCTCTGAATTACGCGTAACATTACAAATTTGTATTCAGAAAAACAAAATTTGTGTGTTATTAGATTTAATATTACAGTTAATTACATTAAACTAATGCTAAAGTTAAGAAAACAGTCTATATTTATATACATTGGGTATTTTACAATATTTAAATCATTATGCAAATTGTATCAATATGTAAAATATTAAAATTTAAAAATACTCATTAAATCACATAAAAATTAGAATACTGTGAAAAAGCCAACTATACAAACGTATTACAAAAAAAAAAAAAAATGTGTCTTAAATTTTTAGTTTAACGATAAGTAAATTCGTTATAATTATAAAGCTGATAATTTAACCCAATCTACTCTAAACTTTTTAGAAAAGTTTACCTACCAATTTAATTAAGTATATTATGATATAAAATGTATTCGTCACTGTGTTTATTGTCATCTCTGTTATATACAATGAAATAAATATATGACTTAATCCTGAACGCAGATTTTGCTATGTTGGCTGTTGTTTATGCTTGGACCAAATAAAAAAACGAATAGTTCGCTGATATCAGCTTAATATAGGTAAATACAAATCATCGAATTTTGATTCGTAATAATATTTTATTTTTGATTTTAGTTAGGTAATACAGTATATCAATAAATGTATACCTAATAAATACACTCTTCTTAATTATTTGTTGTTTGATAATATTGTAATTTATGGTTTGTTACAGATATATAGTCGTATGGGTGGTGTGATAATCCTTACACACTATCTGGACAGGCCTGAGTTGAAATTTTTATTTTTATTTCAACATAATAATGGATCCCACTGAACCTGTTTGTATGGGGCTAATAAAAACATACCAAATAATTTTTTTTTTAAATAATTATAACTTCATATTAACATAAATCTTGATAAACTTACAATAAAAATATACAAATGACAAACAATTAACAATAATAATCGAAGAGATAACATTAGTCATTACCACTAGTAATTAAAATTAAAACTAAAATTTTGACAATATTTTCACCAAGTCCACAGTTATTTACATTAACTATTTGTTTAGGCATATTATCTTAGTTTACTAATTTCAAATTTCTATAAACAGATAATGAACACGTCGAATTTGGCGTGTCCAATTCCAATATGATGGAAGATAAAAATTTTAATTTTGCAAGATATAAAATTTAAAGATTTAAGCGAATCACTGAAGAAATACCCACCAAAAAAAAAATAAAATAATTTTATTATTACAAATTATAACATTTAACTCTCCGCTCAGAATATAAAATAATGATTATTACAATATTGTATTATATTTGCCAAAGTAAAACACTAGATCTGTTCATAGTTCATTCCTATACATTATATTATAAAGCCACTATAATATTTTACTACACTACACTTGTTATAAAAATATATTTACTAATAATTGTGTAACAAAAAAATAAATGGTTAAAAATAATAATCAATAGTTCAGTAGTATACTCGTAAATGCAATTTAATGTATACTTCTATTCAATAACTGTATAACAATACAAGTATAGTAGATATAAATAACTACTAACCAACAGTAAAAATCATATGTAAACTGTGCTAAGAATATAAAAATATTTATCGATTTATCCGAGGGTTAAATAATAAAAATAAAAAATACTATTTTTTAAATATTTTGTTATAGAACTACCACAATATGGCACTTGCGTGGAATTTTATACCCATGAGTTTTTTCCCACTGCTATTTTACCGGGTGTGTGTTTTTTTTTGTTTTGGATTTTTTTTCCTAAGAGTTTTTCCGTGGGTATTTTTTCCGACTATGGCCTTAAACCGATAACGTTATTCTAAATACAATATGGTATGCAGTGTGTTTTCCATACATTTGCACAGATCTCCTTTCAGAAAAAAAATAATAAAATAAAATTGCGTCTATGCGCCGATTAAAGCTCGCCGGAGCTTCGTCTAGTTTGTCTTCATAACATTGACATGGCAATAAGCTCGTTTCCGCGGAGGTACCTACGCCAAGAGCAAACAGTTTACTAAAAACCGTTTTGACGATATCTCCATTTCAAAATTGTTGAACATTTACTAAAATGTTTGCTCCCATCACTAACCGAATTTTTCGACGGTTTCGTGTTTCCGAGGTAGGTAACCCCAGATAGATTAATGTATTTTTAATAGAAATCTCTTTTCGGATCACTATGGCGATGAATAAACAGCTTCAGATGACGTATCTGTAAACAGTCAACAATAATAATACATAGGTATTATGTAACTACACGCAGTACGTCATCAAAGGGGAGAGCCTTAGGGGGGCTGGCCCGCTAAGAAAAGTCATTGGCCCCGAACTGGCTCTCTGGATTATATTATTTTTAAATACTTTAAAATATAGGTAGGTATTATGGCGTTTAATTGTCCTGAATCCCGAATGTATATAAATTGTTTTTATTTACACCTTTCGCGTGTTACGTACCTAGTGTAGTTTACGAGCAAATCGTGAACGATAATCTGAAAATAATACTTTCCGTGTAAAGACAAATATCGCGCATACAAACCAGACAGAAACGTGTTCAAATCCTGCAAGCTTTCCTGAATTCCAATTTTATACTTACACAAGTACTCTTTCGTAAATTAATGGGACGCCGCGTTCCAATCTTACGTGAAAACGCGAACGTCCAAAGTGGCCTATTTTGTACAGGTACTCCGTATAATTATTAACCGTCAAATAACAAAAATTAAATTGCAAATTTTTTTTTTTTTCTGTAAACATGCGTCACCCGACAATTTGAGATAGGACAATAAAACGTCTTATAATAGATTGAAAACGGGAATTCCAAATACGGATCTCTAATGTACATTTTATTTAACAAACACAACGACAACAGACGTCATCACACTACAATAGTGATCGCTGGTCAGTAATCAACTATTAACCAGCATAAAACAATAAACGTAGGTACCTAATAAATATGAAATTGGTAACAATATATTAATATTGTTTATTGAGTTGGTACTGTCAAATGTCAATCGCTACTGTATTGATTCGATTCGTTATTCACACAAATCGCGCAGCATTCGCAAGGTACAACAACAACTGTACTGCAAGCACAAGTATCAAGGAACAATATAATAATCGAGAGAAGTATCTACTGAAAGTTATGTTAATAAACCAAACAACCTTAGAACCGAGAAAGATAAGTACGGTAATAATTATTATACATACTTCCAATACATTTTATCGACCCAGTACCCAAGTCTTATTTACCTATATTTTATATTTACTTATTATTATTATTATTTGAGTTATTTTCCTATTAGTTCATAGTGTATTAATGTAGGTAATCTTTCATATTAATTTTTCTATATGTAGGTACCTATATGTTAGGTGTTAATCTGTATTAATGAATAGATACATGATAGGTACTACATATTTTATATTTTTAAGACATTTTATTCTATAATATTGTCGATTTATTTTTTATTTTTATTATTAAAATTATGACTATTTAATAGTGTCTTAACTTTTAGTGCATTATATTTTTGCACACTGTTAATCTCAGCACTTCAACTACCTATCTATTAAAAGTATTATATAATAATATAGGAGATAATACTATATCCTAGGATGTATGATATTAACCATTATTTGGTGATTGACCACATTATTTTCATAAATAGTTTTAATTAATTAATGATTTTATTCATGAAATGTTGATCTACCTTCCTATTTATTATATTATTATTGTTGTTACAAGTACCTAATCATGAAAAACTTGGATAATAACTATTTGAAAAAAATATTATAGATTAACAAAGCAGTTTAATGACTTAACAAATTGTCTTACAAATTAGATATCTCATTAGATATGAAGTAAGCTAGGTGGTTCATAATATTTTTATTTTTCCATTTATTTTGTAGTATTAAGATTTGTTAAATAAATATTTATAAATTATAGGTGATTATTTAAGCATATTTAAATATTTTAAAAGTTAACTAACTATACTAATATGTAACTATAAAAATTACTTACATCTTTTCTAGATAAAAATTGTTCAACACTTCTTTTCTAAACATAATTGATTGTTTAACATTTTTTAAGTTTTGCTCACATTCTATCTATAGTCAAACATTATAGGACCATTACTGATGTATCAAAACCAGCATTAAAAATATTACTAATCATTATAAACAAATATGAATTATTAAAATTCCTAAAATTGTACAAACTATTATAACTATTCCAGTTTCAAACTCCAGATGTGAATGAACATTTTCATGTTTAAGAAGGCTGTCTTATGACAATTGAAAGATTAGTACAGTAACACATTAATATTTATACCTGTAATAAACTCAAACAATTATACACTTCTACAAAATATGTGTTATTCGAGATTTTTAAAAATACTATTATATACACTACATCTATCTAACAGAATATAAATAAAATAATTTATTCATAAATTCAAAAATATCCAATGATAAAAATAATCAATCTGGTAATTTTTTTTCTTTTGTTAACCATTGTTAATGCATTTCAATTAGGTATTCATCCAATTAAAGTTAACAGCAAACCTTACTTGTATGATAATAATATTATTTATTCTATCTATTAATCATAAAACAGACTACTAATACTTTTAATTAGTTTCATAAAACGTACTCCCGTTAAAATAACAATTAACCAATACACGTTGTTAAAATGTAGTATTTTTTTTTTTTTTTATAGAGATATTGATTCTAAGGATAGGAATAATTGGGGGGTTATAAAAAACCGAATGAAAAAATGTCTGAACCCATTTCAATTTTAAACCGTTGCCTAATACCTACTCATACCCGTCCGTCTTATCGGCAGTCGGGTCTCGGATTTTCGTCTGCCGCCGCCGCGTTCGCGCCACTCGTGATAACACCCGGGCAGTGATTACACGTTGATAAGCGATGATAAGCGAACGATCGATCGTGCACGTGCACCACAACAACAATAATATCACGGCGTCCCGGTCGAACGTTTTCCCAGAAAACAGTATTATAATATTCGGTCGGTCCATGTTGCAAGGCGGACGCGCAAGACTGACGGCGATCATCGTCGTTGGCCTTTGCTCAAGTCTACGTACCAATAAGCGACGATGACCACGATAATAATAACGACGATGCTTGCACGTGCCTAACGTTTCCGTCGCTCACTCGCGATTCACAAGTGTTCGCCGCCGTTTGGCCACCAGCCATTTCGCCGTGAGATCCGTTGCGTCTTTTTTTATTATTATTATTATTATTATCGTTATATTTTTTTTATATCTTAAAACAGGACCCGATCGGATTCAAGAGGAACTGCAACCGCCGCCGTCGTCTTATATTATTATTAGCCATTATGTAATATTGTTCGAAACTTGGCACGGATACCGGCATAGCTGCTGCCGTCGAGCGGTGGTAAACTTCCGAAGCGCTAAATTTAGAACAGTAGTCGACTGAAGAGCCGCACCGACTCGTTCGCCGCTCGCCGCTTCGGAAATTCAATACAATCGCTGCCGTCTCCTAGTGTGTGCATCCGGCCGTGCGTCAGAATATTCATAATACGTTGCAGGTACACAATTATTTTCCGTTCGTTTTTGTATATTCATCGCTTCGAAAAATGAGCGACGAAGTGCTGGACTCTGTCAAGAAATGCGTGAGCGTCATAAATGGCGCGAAGACAGACACCGAAAAATTCGCCGCCCTGTTTATGGTAACCAAGACTGTGAAAGCCGAGAAATGCAATCCTCGCTCCAAGCTTGCCCTGTTCGAAGCCATCGAGTTCAAATTCATCAAGCGTTTGTTGCTCAGCGATGAAGTACCGGCTGGCTGTCCACCATTTGTCTACAAGTCTGTGGCGATGAGCATACTCACAGCGTTGTGTAATGTTGAAGAGGTTGCCACACATCAAGAGATATTACAGAACGTTGACTTGTTCCTAGGCATTGTGCTCGGCGAAGATGATGAAGACGAAGATGAAGTGGACGAAGACAACCTCATGCTGGTCAATGAAGCTTACAAGTGCTTAAATTTTATTGCAACGTTTGAACAGGGCTTAAAAGCCCTGTTTGATGTCGACACAGTAGGAAAAATGTGTAAAGTTTATTCACAAAAAAGCTTTCAGACAGATGAAGCATTGTCATTGCTTGTGACTATCGTTGAAAAGTTTGGTCCACCTTCCTGGGAAGGCAATGTCCAAAACTTTAACACGCTGATGAACATCTTAGCAGTAGATTTTGAAACTGACCACAGTGAACGAAAATTCAAATTATGTTCAATACTCTCGCCTTTATTAAGCAGTTGCCCAGAAGATATTGTATTAAACACTCAAGATATTTCATTATTTATTTGGCCTTCCAAATTATACACTGGGCTGAAAGACATATTGACTAGTAAGCTTGTTAAAGCACAACGAGATCCAGCCATCAAGTTAGCATCTCAATTGCTCACAATATTTGGTGCTGAATGGGCTCTACAAGATGTAGAAAAACCTAAAGTATTTTTCTTGATGTTAATACATTTGGCTTCAATTGAAATACGTATGCATTTAGAAGATAAAAAATTTGAACAGGTACATATATTATTATCTATTACTACCTATTATTACTTCTTTCTTATTTTTCTATACATTTAAGTATAAATTGTTAGGTATATAATTGCATTCATAATTACATTTTAGTTTAAAAAAGTTAATTTGGTTTCTAAAATGTATATGTTTGTAAATACCTACCTATAAGTATATTAGTACATTGTCTATTAATGTACAATAATATTTTAATCAATTAAAGTTTTTCACAACTAATTTATGATATTCAAGTATGAGTTATTTTATAAATATTAAATAAATTAAATTACCTACCTAATTAGAAATAAAAAATTAAAAAAGATTTTCTGTAAAAAATTGACTGGCAAGTACCTATTTACTTTCCATTTGTTTTTTTTTTAAATAATTAAATTTTTAGTTAAAATTACTGAATCTGTATGAACCCATAACATTTGATGTTGGATGTATTCCAATGAAGTGTTAGTGCTATGTAAAATATTGTAAATACAATTTATTACTATGTATTTTTGTAAAATTAAATTTATTTTTTTTCTAAACTTAATATCTAATTATAAAATATAAAAGGAAAAACTAATTTATTGGGTAAATTAATAGTTAGAAACATTTGTTAAATGTATTATTTATTGTATCTACCTAAATATTTGTATGCATTAATTTATTTCAACTAGGCATAAATAAAAATAATAAAAATTTATTTTCAACCATACTCAATTCATACTCAAATTCTTTGATTTAAAATTTCTATTGTAAAATAATTTATACTTATATCATAATAATTTTTGTTAGTTTTTGTCTTGGTTACTTATAAAAATATAAAAATACTTACGGTTTACTTAAATTTCAGAATTTATATGATTTGTAATTTACTGTAATATTTTTTTGAATTTACTTTATTAGATTCTCTAAGACCGTGATTTCGCTTCTATCATACACCCCCTTGCAGATTTTCAAAAATCTTGCCCCTCTCCCATCTATAAATTGAAAAAATGATAACCTTTTATGTATACTTAACAAATAAACTATTCAATATTTCAGAATGACTACATTTTTATTAATGATAATAATTATAAAATATGAATAATAATAAATTATTATAAACACCTCCCTAGCAATATTTACATGCCTCCCCCTCTGGTTAAAAAACTGCTCTAGGTGCTTAAAATATTTTTAGGTAGGTATAAATTATCTATAAACTATAATACCATAGTAATAATTTTTATTGATAAAAGGATATAGAATTTTGAACATTATTTACTTACTATTTTAAAATATGATATTTTAGACAATTAGGCGCTTTTTTTAGTTAAAGCTTTGCCTGTGTAAATTGGCCTTTTTTTCTTTTTATATAAAAATAATTGTAATTAATAATAAATTAATGGTGAAAACATACAAAATGTACAATCATATTTTAATTAATTAATTTTGTTTTTTTCTAGGTATTGGCTGCAGAAAATTTACTTAGTTCATGTTTCACAATTCTAGATGTATCAATTGCTTATATATCAACAGACACTTTAGATCTAGAAGAAAAAGAAAAACAGCATACATATACAGCACTTAAAGGAGCATTTACTGCAGTATTAAACATTTTAAAAACATTGTCTGTATCTAAGAAACCCTTAGAAATCAAAGAGAAATGTTTTGTATGTTTGATGCTCATGACACTTTCTGCGTGGTTAACGTTAGAAACATCTGCAATGAAACCAGCCGTAAACAATATTTTGCCATTTGCTTTACAGATTGCCAATGAATCATTCTTTGCGTATCGTGCACGATATGTATCTGAAAACGTCAAATCTGAAAATAAACCAATAACAAATGATCCTTTGAGTTCCGTAGATGTATTAAGAGCATTTTTACCCGCTTTATGCCATATAACAGTGGATGACAAAGGTCGTGCTTTATTGTTAAAAATTAAACAAGAAGAGGTATTACAAGAATGTTTGGCTTTTCATTGGTCAATTGCGCATTATAAAAAACCATTGATACCAAAATCTGAAAGAGGTAAACCCAGAGGACCAGAACCTGAAATTCCAGCTGAGCGTCTCAAAAAAATGGCTGACTCTAGAGGGGCAATTATTAGTATATGTAATACATTTATGAATATTTGTGTACTAGAAGTAGATTATGTGAAAAATAGTCCATTGTTTTTTACCCTCATGAAATTTGTGTTTGATAATCTACCTGAATTAAAAAACAATCATGAAAACCTTGTTGTGTATGGCAACATGGCTGTTTTAGGTTTATTGCTTCTAAAATTAAAGACTGCATACATTAAGAAAAATGACTTCTCTATTTGCCGTTATATACAGTCGACCATTCGATTTTTGTGGGATGCGTACACAGTTGATGAAAATAGCAGCAATTCAAGATTTGCATTAGGTCAGTTGGTTGTGACTATGACTTATAAAGAATCGTGGATGGAGTTGCAAGAGTTATGGTTTTTGGGCATGCAAAATCTTAGTGGCATCTTAACTCTTGTTCCGTGGATATCAGAATTTGCAATTGAAAGTGGTTGGGCAGAAGGCATCATAGATATGTTGGTGAAAATTAAGCCGGGCTCACTCCCAACCAATGTAAAATATGCTTATGAAGATTTACTATGTCGACTTATTGATGCAAACAGTGATCTGGTAGCCACGCTCAAGAAAAAAGACGCTATCACAGCTTGCCGGGGTCATAAATTTATGGAATTAGGTAAAAAATTATTTGGAGAATAATTATATTATAAGACCATTTGTATTTTATTTTCTTTAGCATTTATACTATTAAACATTTTCATTTTAATATACACGAAAAAGTAAAAAAAAAAAAACAATTATATATTGTAGTACTTGAATCAAAAAGCATATTCAATTAAGGACTAATATTATTAATAAGGATAAATATTTAAAAATATATTATTAATTTTATGAAATTATGAAACGGTAATCATTTTTTATTTGTGTGTCTATTAAATTATGGCCTATGTATTGCTTCTAACAGAGAGTAATCTTAAATTAACTATTATTCCAGGTTTAAAATAGTTTTTCTTGATGAAAATGTTTAGTATATTTTTTTGAAAGTATTAGATGTTTTAGTTTATAATATTATTATTATTATTTTATTTTATTTTTTTGGATAAAACGTTTGTAATGACTGATTTCTGTTTTTTTTTTTTTATTTCATTCAAATGGGCACAATTATGTGAAATCAAATTGCACTTCAATGTCAGTATATACAACATCATTAAAAAATGTTGCTGTATTTACCAAATAACTGTATTCCATTATTAATTAAAGTCATTTATTATACTCTTACCAATTTTTGGCTTAACCTATACACATAATGTTATGTGACTTATATTTTATTTAATCCATACAATATTGTAATCCAATTGTTATGAAAATATGTAGTTAGGTATACAAATAGCAGATATAAGTAGCATTAATAAATCCATAATGGTATTGTTTTTTAAGTAATAAAAAATGCAGTGTTGGAACAATTTGATTTCCGAACACAACCATTTATAGTGATTATTAATGAACAACAAATGGAGTAGTCATTAAACATAATAAATGTAGAAATAAAATTGTTGATCCATTGAAAAGGCTGTTACACGCAGGTATATAATACTTTAATAAATTAATAACAAAAATCTTGTTTTTTATTAACATTTGGTCAAAAACATGATTAGTCTTCATTCTTTTTTGTTTTTTTTTTTTATTTATAAAAATAAATATATTTATTAACATTAATACATTGTTTCTCAGTAATCTAGTGAATAAATATTCTTTTATTTTGAATTATGTATTATGGTTACTCGGGTTATAATATTATTATTATTTTTTCATGATTTAAATACATTACTTCACACTCACACAACAAAAAAGTAAAAATACAAGCATACTCAAGGTGTACTCAAAAGCTTATCATTATATGATCGGTTTCCATAAGCATATTTCCATACATTCTTTAATTACGTATCACACCTACCTATTACAAGAAATGTATTAAAAATGTAAATAGTTGTATGTTTTTAATTTTACCAAAATCAGTCTGAGCTTGAGTTAGGTACCTAATTAGTTGAATGTAATTAAAAATAATATAAAAAAAAACCCAAATCAAAACCTGAAATTTTTACAGACTTGAATTTATACACAAATTTTTAATTATCATGTAGACACGTAGACTTAAAACTGTCAAAAAGATAAAACTATTTTAGACTCAATTAGAAAAGTTTAAATATTTTTTTTTGGTAATTTGAGTTTTTTATTTTCAAGGTTTAAAATTGTTGGTCGACACGATAGCAGCTATTCGATACTTCCTATACCTATATGATTCTACACGTCTTGTCTGGGTAGTTATAGCGGTCTGCCATAAATTAAAATATAAATCGTGAAGATGATTTAAATCGTATGTTATGTGGACACCAGACTAACAATAATAGTAATTATTATACTCTACTACTTCCTTCTAAAATCTAGACAATGATGGTGCAATATAAGTGTGCTCTCACAAAGTCCTTTGTGTTTTCGAGTAAACAATTCAGATTATTATTTAATTAGGAATAAATAAACATTTAATACACACCGTAGCAACTATGGGTGTGCTTTATACTTATAGCTAGGCATATATTTTATACGCATTATGTGTATATTATCATATTCTTATAATACTAATAATTAATAGTAATAATAATATTTGGATCCGCGGTACCTACACCGTTTTTGTATTCGTGATTTTTATAGTTTACTCGAGATAAGAGTGCAGATAATTCATAAAAAAGAGAACCTATATTAATTGTGCAATTTGTTTTTTACTTAAAGGATTAAAAAAAAAAAACAATGCAAAATTAGAAGTATTTGAATTGACATTATAGTTTGGAACATTAATACAGCGATGCATAGGTAAGCTACTTTGATGGTTAACTGCTGCTGCTGCAAGTAGGTATGTCATAATGTAAGTAGGTATCTGTATAAGTATAACAATATATTTTTACAATATTTTAATTTTATATCGGATACGATTGTTTGTACGGTAGATATTGCGTGCATTTAGGTATTATTATATAACAATAATAACAACAATGATATTGAAAGTAAATTATAAAATAAAAATAATAGGTGCCAATACCGATATTAATATATATATATATATAACCACGTTAATTATTATATACAATGAATAATAATTAGAGCATTTAGAGCTGAGATTTTGATAGGTAGCTTTTTAAGTATTAATGTGATTCTTTTAATTTTAATTTTACTTTTTTCTACCAGTTTGATAAAATTAAACTTAAACGTTATTTTTCACGTAAAATTGTACACAATTAGTTGGTTCATCAAAATGAACAAACATATTGGTACTAACATAGTGGCTAAATACATAATATAGACATGCACAACATTTGTTGACAACCGATTTTATACTTAAAAACAGTTGAAGAGACAAAAGCGATATTGTTTTAATTTAATTTTTTTTTTCATTTTACCTATTCCAATAAACCTATATATTATCATACGTAAATAATATACTTTTTTACTTACTAAACTCAAAGAATTTTATTTTCTGAATATATTATCAAGTCTTTTTTGCTCATTTATTTATTTATTTATTTAGAGCGTTAAAATCCCAGCCCTAATATAAAAATAAATTATAATGTACTGTTATATTATGTACCTAGTTATAATATATATAGTGATACATGTATATGAGAGAAGGAATACAGAAAAAAAACGAAAAGACGGAAGACCGGTGGCTTGGGCACACTCCAAGACAGCACTAGAATTTTCTTAGGGTTGACCATAACGGATAATTGGCTGCATATCGTTGACAGGGTTGGGCATGTCGGAGTTCGACATACTCTGCTCCTGTGCCACGTAATTGGTATTTAACTGCGGAGTGGTGTTTTGTACGGACAACTGATCGTTATTGTTGCTGCCACCCATGAATTTCCCTGTCTCCGCGCGGGGTGGCATATTATTATAGCCCATTCCGCCGTTGTAGTTAGGGGATGGCATATTAGAATTGATGACGTAGTTCGTAGGCCGCATGCTCTGCTGTGGCAAATAATATTTGCCATCGGATTCGAATAGATTTTGCTGTTCCCTGATGGTCCCCGGCACCAACAGTCTCCGTCCGAAGTTTATGAAAGCATTGGTTCCGGTCGAGCCCATGTCAAAAACTCTCTGCGCTCCCGATTGGGTTCCGTCCAGTATTTTGCCGACTACACCCCTAAATGCAGTGGTTAAGCCTTCCTTTACGCCCTCGCCGTATTTACCAACCTTGTCGACTGTGTTGAATATCATGCCCATCGGTTTCTGGATAAACTGCATCGGATTCGTCGGCATCACGTTACTCAACATATGCATGGGTTGCATAATTTCTCCTGTAAACATCGAGTACGGTGTAGTATCTATATCAATACAAATACATTTACTATTAAAACTAGTTATATTATGTAGCTATGTAGTTCAGAAATTACATTTAAAAATAGTTTTTTCTAGTTAATAGAAATATAGAATGAATTTGTGTTGATAGGATCAATAAAAATTTTCATTTGATACCCATAATTTCATGTGGAGTTTTCACGACATTATAAAACTCGATACCTAGTGGCGTTTTCAGTGGTGAGAGGAGGGGAGGGGTGGCAGTACCCATAAACATTCGAAAAATAGGAAATTTTGTTTCAAAAATATTATTATTTCATAGAATTAAACATTTTATGTTTAAAAGAAATAATGAAGCGATATATTTAATATCTAAAAGCGTAGGTAAATAACTATCGTAATACTGAAGCTTTAACGATGGATAAAATATGGTACCTGAGAGAAACGTACGGGGTACTTTTAGAAATCTTTAGAACTTTCAGCTTTGATCAATTGCTCATAGCCTTAATTTACTTTTTGGAAATAATATGGTATCGTCCAAACTAGCTGCTATGACATTTTTGATTTAATTCAAAAACTTAACTCTTTTTTTTCTTCTTCAACTGGAAGAAAAAAAGAAAATTCTTCTGAAGTTCGTTAATCTTGAATTAATTAACATGAATAGAAAAATAAAAAGATATTCTCAAAACACTAAAAAGTTGAAAATAATTTCTGGCTTAGTAGTCATTTTCTTAACGTTCTACGCTATTACCTATTTATTATTTATAATCTTGACCATCGCAAATCCTAAGGATCCCAAATTATCCTGTTTATATGTCTTCTTTAGTGAGATATAAAGATTAGCGTTTATAAATAACTGTTCAGATTATTGAAATTAAAATTGTAGGTACTTACCTACAATGTTGGGAGATGACTGAATCTGATAACCTGGTACATTGCTTGTTTGGATCGGAATTTCGTATCCATTGTCAGCGTTGCTGTTTGAATAATATGTAAACTGATATGGTCTCTGTATCTGCTGATCTACGGGGAGCCTCACAGGATTGTTATTATTCGATGGAAATCGTTGTATGCGTGACGGCAACGACATCATTGGTTTCTTGTGCATTGGTGATAAATACCCGTTATAAAAAGTAATCGGCGAGTTATTCGAAGAATTTTGAGGGTTATTCAAAGGATTTTGTTGGCTATTCATCGGTTCGTCAACCAGCGGAAAAGGTCTTGTAGTTTGAACTTGTGGCAGATTTGTCTGCAATGATGGTGGGTTTGTGTTAACGCCTTGAGATGGGTTAGTTTCAATGAAAATTGGCGCCATTGGGGGACCATCAGTTTGAATAGATAGTTGAGATTGTTGAAAATCAGTTACTTGAACTGGAATATCGGTTTGAATAGGTTGTTGAGAACTTGTTACCATAGGTGTACCTGCATCATTGCTTAGTTTTTGTGATGGTGGATTTGATCCGAAATTAGGATTCATTGATTGTTCAGTCATTTCCTTTAAATTTGATTGTCTATCACTTTCCATAACATTTAATGGACCCATCGTTCCAAATGGTTGTTGCTGTGATGGTGGTAGTTGTTGTTGTCGCTGTGGTTGTTGTTGCTGTGGTTGTTGTTGCTGTGGTTGCTGTAGTTGTTGTTGTCGTTGTGGTTGTTGTAATAGTGGTTGTTGTAATAGTGGTTGTTGTAATGGTGGTTGTTGTAATGGTGGTTGTTGTTGCTGTGGTTGTTGTTGTCGCTGTAGTTGCTGTAGTTGCTGTAGTTGCTGTATTTGCTGTAGTGGTGATGGTAGTTGTTGCTGTGGTGATGGCAGTTGTTGCTGTGGTTTCTGTGGTTGCTGTGGTTGCTGTGGTTGATGTGGTTGCTGTGGTTGTTGTGGTTGATGTGGTTGTTGTGGTTGATGTGGTTGTTGTGATTGCTGTGGTTGCTGTTGTTGCTGTGGTTGCTGTAATTGCTGTGTTGGTTGTCGCAGATATGATGGTAGTTGTGGCTTTGGTAGTTGATCTTGGTTGAATGGTTGGAAATTTTGTTGGGAAAGTTGTTGCTCTCCTTCTACTCCTTCACAGTGTATGAAATTCTAAAATATGACATTAATTATGTTACTAAAACAATGTGAAACAAAATATTTAACCTCGATTATGTAAGTATTTATAAATATTTTTTTAAATATCCAATAAATTATAACTGTAAAATCCAAACACATGCCCACACATAATAAACAAACTAAAATGTTATACCTATTTAATATATAAGTACATTTAATATAAGTTTTCCCACTATAGGTATTCAACTTTACTCGATCACATCTTTAAATCGTTTATACAATTTGTTTTTAAGTTATTAAATATGATACTCAAGAAAACACACTACAACAGCATAATATAATATTAATGTTATATCAATGCATATCAACTTGAGCATTTTTATTAAAGTATCTTAATTATCATAATGAATAATGATCAATTTAATATTTTTTCGTTTTTACCATGGCCATGGTCAGACTTTTACAGTAAGTGACGCTAAACTTAGTAAAGTCTAAAATATTGCAATAAAGCCTTTTAAATAATTTAAAAATATAATAGTAATAAAAACAAACAATTATCTACGTTAGATACGTAAAATATAAACGACGTACATATAGAGTCTATAAATTGCCTCCTGGCCACTTCCTGATGAGATAGGGTTATACACACATACTTACATAGTTGATGATTAATAATAATTATTATTATTATTAGTTTTATACTACAGGCTACAGCAGAAGAAAAATATTATCGACGATTTTTAATATAATCGATACCAACGCCCTACATCCATATTCAGTAATTATTATAGTTTTGGAAGGCTGAAATATTTCATTTTGAAATTTTAGTATATAAGTATACAATAATATAGTTATGTAAATATTCGATATTTCTGTGAGATTTTGTATAATTTAAACATTTTTGTTGATATATATAATTAAACATATAATATTAAAGGAAATAATTATTTATGATAAACGTATAAAAAAATAAAGCCTATAAAAAAAAAAATGTATTGAAGTATTTCATGATATTTTCAAAAATTATAGTAACAGTAATACCCGTAAATACGCCTATGGTTTATTGGTTAACATGTTACATTGTTTTATAATAAACTTGAATTTAAAAATGTCTAGGTATTTCAATTATTTTTCCACGGAACAAAATAATTAATTAAACAATATAATGTACTACGGACGAGCATAAAAATGATAAAAAACTTCAAGGAGCCATGAGAATATTAAAAAATTGTATTTCCCTTGAGTTAATCATCGGCACATTGATTGTAAGTAATAAAATAGTGTCAATCCTTGATTGCCTCTGCCGTAACCTTTAAAGGTAGGTAATAGCAATATATTAAGATTTTCTAGTAAAATAATAATAATAGGTACTTCGTTATAGTTATTATTATTATTACACCTAATTTATAATTTGTTCGTAAAAAATTATTTACAGATTGTATATTTTTCAAATAAATGATAAAAAATAAACATACGTACCTATTATATTTGTTTATAGAGGTAAAATAATTATGGATATTAATATATTTAAACAAAAACACTTAAAAAATAATAACATCTAAGCAATACAATATATAAAATATAAATACTAGAAGTAAATCGAATGTAACCACTCTCACTTGATTATTCAATTCATATCGAATGTAGTTGTGTAATTCTATGGCTTTACAATATTATGATATAGGTAATGTGTGAGCATTATCATTCATCACATATCAAATTAAATTAAAACAAAAATCGGGAATTCGTCTTGTTGTATATATTATATAAAATGTATAGCGTTCAAAGTCGAGCAGGTTACCACATCGATTCTGAGCAAACGCGAGGCGAGTAAATCGGCAACAATATGGATACAGGCCACGGGCAAGTTGACGATTTTAATCAATCCGTTAAGTTAAGCGTGAGTATAGGAAAAAGTGAGTAATAAGTCGAGTTACATATGGACTAATACGTTTTTCATAACTCCGATACGGAAGTATGGGGCCGCGCCGCGCAAATTACTATATACTTACATAAAATATAACGAGTAGGTACCGACCTGATTAGCGAAGATCGCGACGAGCAGCCAGAGGACGGTCGCGGCGGCGAACCGGCCGGAAGCATTTTTACCGTTGACGACCATCGTCGTCGTCGTGTCCGTGTTCGTCGTCTTAGTGGCGATCACGCGTCGTGGCGCGCAAAACCGAAAGAGTTGTCTCGCGGAAGAGACGGAAAAAAATTTCGTCGAATTATTGTCGTCGGACTTCACCGTTGGATCGCGCGACACTGCTGCAGTGATGGTATATATAACGACACGCGATCGGTATCGTCCTTATATAGGTACGAGGTTTGCAGGCCTTTTCAGGATGGCGTGTCTGCGTGCGCTTTTTTTTTTTTTTGTCGGAACGGGTCTTTTGTGTTCGCCAAAGCGCCGAGCAGATGTGACAGGTCGCGTGCTCTCGACGGTTTCTTTGTTTGCGCGCGCGGTAATGACAAAACGACGACGACGACGACAACGTCAACGACAACAACAACAACAACGATGACGACTATATACGACGACAGCGGTGGTCGTCGTGTGTGTGTGCGGGTGTGGGTGGGCGTGTGCGGGTGCGTGCGAACGAATTATAAAAAACGCTATTCAATACGCCGTTATAGGTTATGATGGGTACGCGTTACGTTTTGATATTATTTTTTATTCGATAAAGTTTCGTTCTATCGTCGGACCGACTTGAACGGCCGACGGGAAGTCGGGGTCTCGACCGTATCGGTTCGGGCGCTCAAGACACCGCGGGACCGTCTCGGCGCGTGAGGGGGGTACTGCTGTGGGCGCGGACGAGACGACGGAGACAAATTTCGGGGCGGAGACGAGAGACGGGTTTATTCTGCGGAGGTCGCCACGGGGGTTAGGGCTTATTTTTCGGTTCGACGATTCCACGGCACCGCGAGCGCGACTGCCGCGTCGGTCCGGGTCTCGCGTACGCTCCGGTCCGCGTACGACCTGTCGGCGGCGCGAGAGAAAAACAAACACGCGACGTGATTTGCCCATTCGTCGGTGGTTTTGCCGTACGCACGCCGGCCCCGCCGCCGCGATGTGTAACCCCATCGTCGACGTTGTAACGCCAGCGCGTTATTATCGCGGCGATCGAAATTTGACAGGTGTCTGTCGCCCGGCGAAAGGGCCGTGCGGTGCGGTGCGGTTACGCGCCGCCGACTTGTTCGTACTTACTACAATGTAATGATTTCGCGGATAATATCGGATACCCGATCACCAGGTCGGTGACATACCGCGCAAATAACTATATTCACGCGATGGTACAAAAAAAAAAAAAAAAAAAAAAAAAAAAAGGAAAGAAAATAACAAACAGATAAATGCACAAAAACATATTATATTATAATTTATAACACATATTATGATATTGAGAATAGCATTACAAATAACCGTCGATATTTTTCGAATTTTGTCGGGGAAAAAAAAAAAAGAATAATAATAAAAACGCCACTTGCCGCGTCCTCCCAATTATAATAATTATCGCGGGTTTTTTTTTTTTGCCTTTTCCATATTTTAAAAGGTGATTTTTTTTTTTTTACACGTTTGTTTCCACCGTAGTAATAACCCGTCATTAAAATAATCATTCCATACAATTTTCGTCGCAACGGGGGGGAGGAGCGTCGAGTATAAATTGCTAGATCGCTCGAGCATTATAGTCGCTTTCTGAAATACTGAATTTGTTCAAAAAAAAAAAAAAAAAATACACGCATTAATATTTTATAGATTTTGAATTCCAGAAAAATGAAGAGCTTTTCCGTAATCACCGTGTCAATCGTTTTGGCCTTTATTGCGGCCAACACGTCTGTGAGTATAATATATTATGTGTTTGACAAGAGGTATATTGAAAATTTGCATTTACGCCGCCGTAATAATAAGCCATTAACGTTTTAATCGTTCCGACATTATGACATGCGATCGTACACATTTAATTATTATTGTTTGTCCTTAAATGACAAAATGTTGAATCGTAAAACTCATAACAACATAGGCAAGAACGATCATATTTGTCAAATTAGTCGTAAAGTTTAAACGTATAAAATATTAAGCAACGTGCACTTGGCTTCCAAAATTAAGGGGCCTCATAGCCTCTGTTTATTTATTGATTTTAAGCGGACGATTAATATATATTAATAAATTAAAAATTATAGATTGAAAATTTAATAAGAAGTTTTTCATATCTTCTTCATACACCAATTAAAATATTTTAAAAACAAAGTCATAATTAATTTTTTAAAGCGTCTATAAAGTATTTAAATGTTAAAGTGTTGAAATTCATTAAAATCGCGATAATTCGCAAATAATTTTGTAGTTATGACTTCATAATATTTTTGAGATTTGAAGCGTGAAAATTTAATTTAATGTTTACATATTATTCATAAAAACTAAAAACTTTTCTTTTCACTTTTATCTACGGTATTAAGTATTTGCTTAAAGCAAACTTTAATTTAAAATTAAAAGTTTATTTACTTTTATTAATATAAAATAAAATTTCTTTTGAAATTTAGATTGATAAAAGTCAACTCATAATCATTTATTGTATACAGAGACTATTAAATCAAAATTTAATACATAAATTCATTGTAGTGACCTAATCAATGACGAAGTACTCTCGATATTTAGACAGAGTAGGTATAACGAGTTCTCGGATTTTTCAAAAATATATTGGTTTTTTTCTTTTTAATATTTATTTGCATAAATATTATAAATAATAGTTACTTCTAAATATTACACACTTCAGAACGCTTTTTAAATTTATAATTAATTTAATATTATATTCAATGCCTACCAATATTCTTTTTCTGTCTTTTACATGATAATTTTTATGGAATGTGTATTTATTTATACAATTATATATATATATCTTGATAAAATATTATGAATTTCAGAAAATTAAATGGGATTTAAAAAATAAAACCAATAAAACAATAGGCTGTGTCATTTTTAGACAATAATTTAAGCGAATCACAATTAGCAGAGTTCAAATATTAGTATAGTACAGTATTTTAAATTATACAATTTTTAATTTAAAAATATGGTAACTTATTACATGATACTCACATTCGTATCTCAATTATAAGTAAAATACAGTACCTACCCAATATGTGCACTTACAAACCCTAATGAGTTTTACTGTATATTGCATAATTTTAATTGTTGTTAACACATAGTATGTATTCGAGGTATTTATACTTCATACTTCAATTCAATATTAATTTACAATTTCTAACGAAATATGTGTCTCATTTAGGTTTAGTGAATGATTAAAGAAAAAATAATAATTAAAAATGTACTTTGGTATAAATGTTATTCATTGGTAAACTATAATTATGTCAGCTGTCATAAGACTAAAAATCAACATTCATCACTCATCAGATTTATCAGATTTGATATTATATTCCATTATAATGTGCTGTAGCTGTTGTTTCAAAATTTTTTGAACCATTACTCTTAATGTAATAATATAATCGAATTAGACCTTTGCACAGTCGATTGAAACAATGGAATAATATTATAATTTATGATATTTTTTGGCCTTGATGTAGAAGCCCTAAATGGAGCCTCCATACCTATATGCTTTATTGGGAAGTTAAAATTAAAAAAAAAATTATACATATTTCTTTGAACAGTTTTTATAACCATTTACAGTAAATAATAATTTATTATACTTATAAATCTATGCATATAAACTATAACATCAAGTTTTATTTTTTTATGATTTTTGTTTTAAATTATTGACCAGCAAAATTATCAGTTTTCAAAGGAAAATTAATATTGATTGACGTACATTTTTATTTATCTAATGCTCAACATCACGAGTTATGACATGTGAAGTTCTAAAGTTTTAATTTTTGTTTCTAAAAATCGTTTTTTTCATAGAAGAATTGTAAACGAAATGCCCTTTCATAAAGAGACTTTGTCTGTACTTTGCAATATTACCAAAGGCACTACTGGTTTTAGAACAAATAAATAATAATGAGTAAAATACATAATTATCTATCTTATGTTGTTAAAATATATATACATATTACATACATATATATTAATGTAATTTTCAAATATTTGTTCATGAAATAAAAAATTAAAAAAATACTATAAAATATTTAGAACTTTAATCACAATTATTGCGTGGCAATCATACTTTTTCCAAAAAATTTATGTTTTCGACGTTTGGTAGATGGGCTAAACCATTTCTTTGTACTCTTTATAACGCTTTAACGGTTTCTCATTATTACGTTCATCTATAATCCCTATAATTCCTAATATATTATTAAAATATTAACTGCATAACGGCACAACGTATGAGGCCTACGTATTTGTGACGATAAATCGGTTGACTACATATTATTATCATGTTTCCCCTTCATTCATTTCGTTTGTCGTTTTTCAGGCGCACGAATCGTTTACAGGGCAAAACGTTTGTGACATTAAATATCACTTTCACGAAAACTTGGCTTCGGTGATTACTGACGACGTAGGCATAAAATTGATCAATGAATTGCGACAAAACTATAAGAACATCTGCTTGGACCCGATGGCCCACAATTCAATCGTTTCCCTAGTCGACGGGATCATCGACATGACGACCAACACCAATGTCTCGCAAACCCTAGGAAATACATTTTACTGGGCTAGGAAGATCATGAAGGACCCTAAATTCCGTGCCGTCTGGCACGAGACCATGAAAGGTGTCAATATGAGTCTTGATAATTTCGAGGTCACTCAGCAGGTAACAGATACGTTATTCGACCAACTCAGTGCATTGTTGAACCATCCCAAATTCGATTCTACATTCGAATCAGTGGTCAAAAATCTGTCCATGCTGATTAACTTCCGCAAGAACATGTTCTCGAAAGCTGGTTCCTTCCTTTCCAAGCAAAAACGTCACTTCAGAGATGGCAGGCAATAACTGCTAAACAGTTGTGTCCGCTACACCGAAAAAATAATAATTTATATACAATAATGAAACAAGAACATAAACATAAATGTAAAATTAAAAAAAAAAATTATATTTTTAAATGTTTTCCGTTTATAAGACAAATAATTGTACCTAAATCACGTTTGTTCGGTTATTACTTATTTGTAACTATTATTGTACATAAAAATATAATATAATTCCCATACTATATCTCTCATACGACTGTAATGCGAATAATTACAAAACAATAAATTACAGTTGAACTTTTCGTTAACCGATGTGATCGTAATTATGCGCACTGCAGATAATACCATCACGTCATAAACAGGATATTTTGTCGTATTTTGTATAATTAAATTAGGGAAACGACTACAATATAGCTGGGATAACGACGAACGAAAGAAGCAGAGATTTTCCAGTGTTTTGCATACAATACAATACAAATTACAGCGTGATTATATTAAGATCTACGATTATGATTTGGATCTCAAAATACCAGAGGACGCATTAGCGCGTAAGTCGATTTAACTATACGCTACTTTAATATTTAATTCGATCGTCTGCCGGAACTCCGTCATATCTCGCGATCGATGTTTTCCTAAGCCGTTATTCTTAATTCGTCGTCCAAAATCATCGCCGTAAATCGGTAACGTATTCAAGTATGGGCGGGTGTGTGGTGCGAGCGAACTCGCCCCATTACGTACTGGACGCGACGTACGGCTGCCGCGCTAAATTAAAAAAATGAATAATGAATCGTCAAACCGATCACGGTCAACGGTGTCACCGGGACAATACGATATATCGTCGCGTCCAGATCAGCGGTTCTCAACCCGGGGGGGGGGGGGGGGGGTGTCACCAATAGTCTTTTTAGGGGCCAATGTTTAAAAAATATTCACATATAATAATATAACGTTAATTTAAAAAAAAAAATCGTATTTCAAAATTAAACATTATTATTTCAAATGTTAATTCCACACGAATTTATCGAGTGTACTCGTCGCCTTAATTTTAATACGATATAATAATCATATTAATCTATCGCTGCTTTTTAACGTGTTATCACAATAAAAGGGTCGCTCGAAATCCTAAAATAATCTAATCATTCAAAACGTTTTTGGTTAGGGCATACATTGTGTTTATAACGCGAATCGCCAACTTTAAACTTGAAAATGTGACGGGGCCAGATAAATAAAGGCTCAACCTAGCCGCCTGCAGTCGCCCATCCCCGTTATACACCAATGCCGCGATATGTCAATATCGTGTGCGCTGCTGTGTCGTATAATAATCATCGTATTGTGTAAATATTATGTTTACGCGTACAACGTACCGTATCATATCTACTACAGCGCGGGCACGCTTGTCGTCGGTATGTGTTTTGATCGGCGAGCGTTTTAACGCGCCGCCAAGTAGGTCGGTGCCGGGTCGTTTGCCAGCGCATCGATTACACGCCGTAGTGGTCCCATCATCATATTTACAAGTGTGGCGAACACATGTCGATAATGACGGTTTTGGCTGCGAAATCATGTTATCCTATACACACACACACATATCATTCCATATATTATCGATCGAACTTGACAAACGCTTAAATCGCGGTATACCATGGCGCGCGTTATACGCGTAGGTAATGGTACAGGAGGTATCTGTCGCCGCGCGTAGCGACGATGAGTCGAATACGATGTGCGAATAAAAATACAATAACAAAAACGACTCGGTAAAACAATATTATAATTTGTTAGCGTTTGCTACGAGTTTACAATTATGACAAACTATTCGTTATATCATGTTTTGGCGTACGGCACAATATGCGCGCATACCTACCATTACCGCTATTACCTATACATTACGCGCGTGGAGTTATTATAATAATAATAATAATTGTTTGTCGCACGCACATGTCGTCGTCAGTCGCAGTGCAACGCAGCACAAATTATTATAACAGGAGGACCCAATGATATTTTGATATTTTTGCATCGTTAGCCTACGCGGGCCCGTGGCGCTAGTGCGTACGCGGATATCGATCAACTGCGGTATAGTATTATTACTGTGATAATGCCGAGATCCTCCCCTAATCTATCATAGTTTGGGTTTTTCAGACGGCCAATAAACGGTCTTTATTTTTAATTTATTTATCAAAACGAAAAGGTGTATTGACGTCAATTGAATTAGTTACAGAACGAGTTAACCTACCTCCGTGTACACTCCAGCTTGTATTTACAGGAGATAAGGATAGCAGCGTATGTACAGCTGTTAAATATAATAATTAAACACAATATATAACATAAATTATAATTTTCAAATTATTCAATGATAAGAACGAAAAACTAAGCTTTATGTTAAATATGAAAGAGATGAGATAAGAGAGAGAGAGTCTTTTATAGAAAAT